TCGGAGTGACGACGCTGCTCACGATGACCACACAGGCGTCTGGCGTGAATGCAAATCTGCCACCAGTCAGTTACACGAAAGCTATTGACATTTGGATTGGTGTCTGTTTGGGTGAGTTAGACTACAACTGTAGCGTACCTCCCGGCGCTGTTCGGCTTAGGGGGGGCATACATTTTTCCAGCTCGCGAGTTTCGTTCACCAATTCCTGTTAACTTAACGTCTCACCCTGGTGGGACCTGTACTCTATTGTCAAGTGTAGACGGAATTCGTATTATTGCACAGCTGTGCCAAAGTTTAGAGATCTCTGCAATAGACATCGGCAACGATTAATGGGAACCAACAGAATGCCCCCACCATGCAGAACTGCGTCGTACCTGTCACCTGCCTGTAAACTAAAACATTTCATTTCAGCATTCATATTCGGTGCTTTATTGGAGTTTGCGTTGGTGAACTGGGCAGCTCGACAGGATCTCGTTGCGAACAGTCGGGCTCGCTATCGACAATCACCTCTCTTCTTTAGGTCAGTGCCATTTTACAGAAAAGCATAGCGGCAAGGAAAAAGGGTCGACAGTAATCAGTCCTTTGGCATGCGCCACACACTCGAATCTCGTTGTTTGTAAAAATGGTGTCCGAATGCCTAGCTTGTCTATGACTCCGATTGTGATAAAGTTGCGGGCTTTTCTTGCTATTCGTCCGCGTACAGTTCAAGCTGATGCTATGGGCACAGACAGACAATCGCACTACCTGCCTCGTAGGACTTTTAGCATCCCCCCTCCTTCCTACCGCTCAAGCGCTAAAGAACGAGCGAAGCACCCACGAAAAAGACGATTCAAAGGCCGAGGACTACTACAAGGGTTCCGCCCCTTCGTGTGCGATCTGCGATCCCTTCGTCACTAAGCGTTGATAACAGAGCGAACAATTTTTATCCGAAAATTCCAACGACTTCCGATTTTCAATGTTATTTTACAAAAAGCTGGTCCTACGGGAGAGGTGATCGCACTTCCATTGAGGAAGGCCGATGGTCGCCACAGGTACGGTGACGAGGTAAGCCGATGAAGTCGTCGCAGAGAGTAAGCATATACCAGAGAGAGCTGCTTTCGTCTTAAAGCCAGTCTTATATCTAACCGACAAGCACTCTTGCCTACCTTGCCTGAGGGAACGTTGCCGAAAACGCCACTTTGAGGGTCGCGCCGCCAAACTATTAGGGTGATTAACAAAAAAGATGACCAATTTTGTTGCATATTTCGAGAACTTTGGAATCTTGGTCGATATCGATGACCAAGCAAGTGGTAGTTGTAGAACATTCTCGAACCTTCTCCATAATGGGTATATAAAGCTGGGCTGCTTCCTATAGCTTTAATCACGATGGCAATCACACAAGAGCTAATTCGACACGTCATCTACTACGAATGGCTTCGCGGGACCGGAGCGACGGCAACCGTTCAAAACATCAACAGCACATTGGGAGAGGGCACCACTTCTCTTAGCACGGTCAAGCGCTGGTTCGCTCGCTTCGAAGAAGGAGACACGAACTTCGAAGATAAGCCTCGGTCGGGACGCCCCCACACAGTCGACGACTTCGCCATTCTCGACGCCGTCAAGGAGGATCCGGAACTCAGCACCCGCAGTCTTGCGACAAGACTTGGGTGTACTCAACCAACAGTCGTCGGCCGCCTTCACGCTCTCGGGTACAGGAAAGTGCTGGCACGATGGATCCCTCATGAGTTGACTAAGCCTCGGTCCACCTTCTGCACGACAACGCCCGACCCCACATAGCAAAGGAGACCCGGGAAAACTGGAGGAGCTGGGCTGGGAAACTGTCCCTCACCCGCCCTATTCCCCTGACCTAGCTCCTTCAGATTACCACTTGTTCCGTCCCCTTAAGGCTTTTCTAGCTAAGAAACAATTCACCAAAGTTGATGATGTGAAACGGGCGGTGAGTGACTTCTTCGACTCCCAGTCTCCTCAGTTCTGGGAGAAGGGGATCGCTGACCTGCCCATTAAGTGGGAGACTGTTGTCACTAATAATGGTGATTATATTGTTGAGTAGCTTGCATTGTATGCTGAGTACTAAAATAAAGCAGAAAATTTTTTTAAATGGGTCATCACTTTCTTATCAACCTAATATTACAAATCTTGGAGGCGGGATGGCCGCGAATCAACGATCGCACCAGCGTATCCCCGGTGCTGCTGACAAGAGGATCGTAATTTGCCGCGCTGCTGGGCGTCGTGCGACGTCCGCCCGCAAAGGACGATGGTTTCAGGCAGTAGATGGCGACAACATGCAATTAAGGACCGAAAACAGTAATGAGTGTCTACGATGACGGGGTCTGAAGTCCGGTGCTTCATTCGACAGGTTAAAACGAGTTATGAAAACGCCGCGCCCATCGCCGCGCGTGGCGGTGCGGCGAATTACGATCCTCTTTACCGTCTCCCCGTATCCCCAGCCTTTCCCCTCAACACAATACGTTTCACTGCCTCCGCCCACATGTCCGCCCCATATGACTAGCGTGGACTGTGTTCTTAGTGGTTCAGCATGAATGATCACAACATGTTATCTAATTACAGGAATCAAAATATGCAGCAAGGCGATTCTCACTCGTTCTACGCACCTATAGAACAAGAGGTTTGAACTTACCTACCCAGCTAGTTTTACTGGAGATTTTGACCACAACTGTTGCAAAATAACAATACTTCCAATAACCAGTTTTCATTTATTCAAGGTGACGTTAGAGGATTTGCCATACAGCTGGTGGGACAAGATGTGGAGAATACGTTACAAAGTGAGTTGTCAAAGTTGCACTTCGTTTGGGAGTCTGTTTGAGCAGTCGCTCCCAGAAGAGATGAAAAAGTACTAGCTATTGGCTTTTTCACTTCTTATTGATGGTGATCACCGAGAATGACAAACTGCAGATGTTGTTGAACTGTTGAACTTCCTCATTGTAAATGCTCAACCACTTACCAAAATTATTACTCCCAAATCCATTTCTGAGATCGGGACACAAATGGGAGCTCGCTGGAGTCCGTTAGAAATGGGGCTGCCTGAGGTTTGCCAGTTGGCTTCACAGCCACTCCTTAGCTTTTTGGTTTTTTCGCCCTCTGAAGGAACAGTAAAGAAATACGAAAACGGCCGGTTCAAAATTAGATCAAAATTGGCTGACCAGTTTTAAATTGTCTCAGTCACCTATTTTCGCACGCTTTCCCGCAGAACATTCCCACAGTACCTGACTCGGAGCAATTCGGAGCGCGTGACAACAACACATTTATGCCACCACTTGCGGATGTACTCCCAAACTCTCAGAGGTCTTTCTTAGAGAGTCATATTAATCAGCACATACAAAACGTAATTTAGGAGCAGAGCCGCAGGATCGATCTGGTGTCGCGGGTGGTCTTCCCGCTGTTCTTCATGATTTTCAATATTACGGTAAGGATACTTTGCGACTTCCAAACTGTTCCTAACCGAAAACGATAGAAACGGAACTCGGGTTAGGGTCACGAGATTCGAGTCATGGTAGCACGGAGCAAGCAGCATTGCAAGTGGCGCTACAGGGTCGGCGCATGAACTACGACCGGGACAAACCATGGGTTATCACGCCGCCGCACGATGATAACATACTTCTGAGTGTCACCGTAATTTAGATCTACTGGTCCGCATCCAAGAAAACTGATCGAGATTGGAGATGATCAAGTCGATACCTATCTCAGAAAAAAAGGATGATCATCGCTGTATATCACATTCCCGGACGAGGGCTGCGCCTGATTTCCTCCAGCTTATTTTTTTAGCGCCAGGAGTCTTTGTGTTTGATGGGTACATTTAAATCATTTGAATCAAAAAAGCCTGAGAGAAGAATACTCGGCGTCTTTAAAATCCTTTCAAAATGCGCTGCGTATTAGGTCGTGAGTTTTTTTACGGTTCCTGGTGCCTGAAATTTGAATACTGCTTCCCGTATTGCCTTTGTGGGGTTGCCGTCGCGTTCAGTATTAGTCTGAGGCCCACTTCTCGCTCTACCTTATCGCTCGATCAATTTTGTTTTGAAGTGAGTTCTATACTTCTTAAGATGGTCGAGAATGACATGGAGAACGGAAGTATTCGCCACAATGCTTCTAATCCAGCTCATAGTCCGAGCTGTTCCTGCAGCTCAAATTGGAAAGGGAAGCTGCGGGAACAGATCGTGGTATTCACGAGTATTTGACCCTAGAGCAATGAAGGAACGTACTGCACAGTAGTTGTTTGGAAAGAAAAATGTACCGGCAATAGGAATGTTGAAGATGATGGGTAGACCGCCATCGGATGTTGACAGCGAACAAATTACCGAACAGCTGAGAGCATTAGTCGATGAAAGTCCGCGTATAACGCTGAAGGACACAACCTCGAGTTTGGCTGTTTCGAGCTGCACGGTTTGTACGGAAATATAGAAAAAAGAAAAGTCGAAGAAGCTCAGAAAAGAAAGTCGAAGAAGCTTAGAAATGAGTGCCACACGAATTGATCCAATATCAGAATGGTAGTCATTTCGACATCTTCTGTGCCCCTCCTCTTACGCCATCGAAACCACTCATTACTAGATAGCATTGTGAAGAGTGATGGAAAAGGATTAAGCACAACAACCGGTGTCGATCTGGTCAGTGATTGGACAAAAAAGCACAAATATATTCCATGATTAATTTTTGATTGCTTGCAGCTGGATGACCATATGTAATTGACAAGGGAAACCCAACATGTCGACCGGCCATCTGCAATGACGGTGCTTATTCAGATGGACGTGTTGAGCGTGAATTCAAATCTGCCCCCGGGATTCGCGGAAACGATTCTCTTGAGGGAGTTACAGACCATTCATTCTCTTCTGTGTTCGCACAAGTACGGTGCCATAACTCATTGCGGCAAGTCGGTGGTGTAGTAGCTAAGCGCATCGCTTCAGAGTAACGGTAACGGGTACACATGTTGGAATCTTTGCCTCTTGCAAAGTTTTGCTTTTGTTCAAAGCAATTCACATTGCCTTGAAAACATTTCTATTTCTCAGTTCTTTAATTATTTGACAGCAAGAAGGGCAAGTTCTCCATTTCTGGTTCCTTTGAAGAACTTTTGTTATGGCGGTATCTGGCCATCAGAGCTTGCATGAAGAAATGAAAGTTCTCATTGTTCAAGAGCACATAGGGTACTCGCCAACGAAATGATAAAAACAAAACGAGTCTCCTACGTTGACATCGAATAAAGAAGTACTCTCAAAGGCCTAACTAATATAATTTTTTCGATACATCAACGGACTCTATTCTCCGTCTTCTGTCTATAGTCTTTTTCAATTCTGCTCACCCAGATTCGAGAAACTTCTTATCCTATTCTTGGTATTCGGCTGGATACTTCGAAGCACATCCTGGTGCATTCAAAACACCTCTTCAGTACTGCTTTCCCTCTGGACTGGTGGAGAACTGTAACTGTACCGTGTGTGGAGAGTACTCCTTCATTTGATGTGCTCATTGTGAGAACTTGTTTTGTTTCCATCATTCCGTGAAAGAGTGCCCCTTTGAACCATGAGAACTTTATTTCTTTACG